AGAACAAGATAGCTTCTTTTTCAAGGTTAGTTTTGTTTTTGGAAGATTGAAAAAATATTACTTTTGCTGACATCAAGGATACAATTGTAAGACATCTTATCAAACTCAGAAAGCGGTTTTCAGATTACTTTCCAGATCTTGATACACGTACTGTCAGTTGGATTGTAGATCCTTTTAAATGTGAAATTGCTATGATACCAGAATAACCTTCAGGTTTGGCAGAAGCAATTCTTGAACTTCGATCTAATACTGAAGCACGTATTCAATTTGAGAGTAAACCAAATCTGTCGTCTTTTTGGATGTCAAAAGCTGCAAAGGCTTTCAAAATTGCACATGAAGAGGCGGTTAAAAAATTGCTGCCATTTGGAACAACATGTTTGTGCGAACAAGGCTTTTCCACTCTAATGAACATAAAAATGAAGAACAGAAATCGATTAAACGCCGAAGACTGTATTCAAATCGCTCTTACATCAAAAAGTCCCAATTTTGAAGCAATTGTATCGAACATGAAACAACATCATTTCTCCAAAACGTGAAGGAAGAATGTTTTCAATTATTCTTTTTTTTCTAATTTTTCAATTCTAATTTTTGTTTGTACCACCATTATTATTATTATTATTATGATTTGTTACAGTACCCCAAATTGTCAACCCTCAATTGTAGCCCAATGGGTTTCAATTTGTTATATATATTACTTTTCAAAATTATAATGGGGGGCTATAATATGAAAAGATGCTAAAAAGAGGCGATTTCTTTTTTTCTTTTTCTTTTTTTTTCTCTTCGCCATGGGGTAATATCAACTTACACAAAAATATTTTGGGTTAATGATTAAAAAAGTTCTCCGACCGCTGCACTAGTCGGTCGTTTTGTTCGTCGCTTCGACATCTTCTGAGTAATTGTGAAACGTGTGAAGGATAGAAAAGTACAACATGTTTTGGCCACAGCTGCCTTCAGTATTTCTCAGCCATCTCTTGGATATCTGCCCAAACATAGGTATAACTTAATGTTCATGTGCTGCCCAATAATCATTACTTTTTACAAATCATAAAATTCCTGGCTTAGAATAATCATGTGTATCGGAGAAAGTGCATGACATAATTTAATAAAGAAATTTCAGGAAAAAAGGACTAACCTAACTGAACTGATAAATCATAATGAATCTGCTCCATATGTTTGTTCTCTTGTGCACTAAGTCCGCAAACACTTTAATTTTACCACGTTTCTTATGAATAATGATATGAAGTTAATACTACAAATTTTCTAGGAATTTTAAAATATGAAATATCGATCTTCTAAGGAGAGAATCACAAATATTATTCCTGGAGAAAACAATAATTTTGAAGCTGAACTTATCGGGATTCTAAATAATAACACGACTGGAAAATGGAATAACAAGAAGATTACTGAGATTCCTTTCAACAGCAGCATATTAGAATAAAATTATTTTTTTGAATATTTTCGGTGACAAAAGTAAAGAGATCTTTATTAATGGTAAACAGGCTTTCAAATTTTTGAGTTTCTAATTAAGAACAGTTTTTAAAGAACGAAAATTAAAGGTTCAAAATGCAGTTGTAGAAAGAAGTCATTTCTTGATAAATGAATGGTATGATTTGATTTGGGAATGAGGTAAGCAGAAAACAGTTTCCGATAAGCCGGAATATTGAAATTAAATTTATGGATTATTATTTAAATAACAAAGAATGGAAAGAAACTGAGGAAGAATAATGGCAGTCACCCATATCATTATGAGAATACAATGACATCATAAATAAGTTGACTGGAAACGGAGAAAAGTCTTTTTCAAAAAATAATTTAGTTTCAAAATCTTTCAATGAAAGGAATATTTTCATATCTTTTCAGTCATATCAATTTAATTCCATTTAGAGACATTAATTTTATTAGAAACAAAATGCAGTAAGTTACTTCAGTTACTTGATGGTCGATAATTCTAAATTTTTAATTAGTTTACTTTAATTGTAATTCAGTCAGCACTATGGGGATATTTTCATATATAGAAGCCAATGATTTCATAGTTGGAAGCCAACTTGAGTATTTAATTAATCCGTCAGCTGGATTCAAAGTATGCATCTTCTAGTGATAGTTAGACGTGCTAACCGTTTACATCACAAAAGCACGCATGGGGAAATGCGAACTTCATTTTCCATCAATCGAATTTTTTGCTACACCCGTTCATTTCAGCTTATCGAAACTCGCCTTTCTAATAGATATAGAGATAGTAAGAAAGACTAATTCCTGAATTTCAATAGAAAAGAAACAGCATTCTCGAAGTTTGACGGCCGCTAGACATTTTAATGCTTTATCACATGCAGCATAAGTAAACAATGATTTGGCGTTAAAAGAAAAATCATATTATTGGAAGAAAAATATATCTGAATTTATTTCAAATGACTGTTTTATATTATAAGTATTGCTAAAAAGAAATTTAAAAATATTATGAGTAAGTTATTTGGTTATTGATAATGAGCACTCCCTTAAATATAAAAGGAAGAGAATGGGAGTTTGGAGAATTTTAGGAAAGACTTTTGCATTGTGTTATATTTTAATGTAAATGGTTTGTATATTGCCATTAGTGATTAATTTAATAAAGTATTTTAGTATTCTGAAACGATTTACCAACAAATTAAACTTCAGAGTCTGAATAGCAGTGATGCCTTTAACTTCTTACAAATACAGTTTTTATGTGTAAAAAATTTACGATTACGATTATGATTTGACAACCTTTATCAAATGTAGCACTTTTGAAGATATTTTTATGAAGTAATATAATTCGCGACGTGTTTAAATTGTTAAATGTTCTGCGAAGGAAAGAATTTAAGATTATCCCCTATTCGATCAAAATCTTTTCATCTCCTTGACTGTGGTTTCGCAAGATATAGAAGGCGGAGCCACAACATATATCGAAAATCGTTCAAGAAAATATCGGCATTTCTCTGCTTTCCAATATGTTTTTCAGTATGAAAGCAAAAACATGTCAACTACAAACTTTTACGAGGAACGCGTAGTTTAGAGCAGTATGATAAGCAGAAATTTTTATGACAACGCGTAGTTTAGGCAGCAGAAGAATATTTTTATTTTGGATATCCAATGTCTTCATGAAAATAACACACGGGGTTAAAGTTAAATACATATTTTCAAAACGGCATTTATTTTGCATACGCGATTATTATATGTAGCAATTGAAAATATCAAACGTTTTGATGAATTAGAAAGTGCATATAGGACGTTTCAAACTACTCTTATTCTAAAGAAACCAAAAATTACCAACAGTAGTTGGTGCAAATGAAGTAATACGTTTACTACTATATTTGTGAGGCATTGTAATGATTTATACCTATTAACATTTGGAATTCATATTCAAATCTTAGCTACTAATCTTCTAGTAGTCGCACTGGCTGACAGCGAAGTAGGGAGAAATTCAGTGAGTGAGTTAATAGATTAGGCAGAAGGAAAATTATTCGATAATCACAAATGGCAATTAAGAATTATATCTATTGAAATATGATTGATGCTCACGTAACTAAAATTTCATGTGTTTTTTGTGTCGAACGATACTTGCGCGACTGAAAGCAAGCAGGGCAGAAAAAGCGAGAACTAAAAATTAACTTACTAGCAAATTAATATGATAGTTACAAGTCTAACTGAATAGGTTTATGTTGGAGTTAGTTATCAGAAATTTTAGTTGTGCAATAAAATTATTGAAACAGACTTTCACTTAGATGCTGACAAAAAATAACTCTGAAACTCCGAGTCTTGAAAACCTGCGTCTATGACATTTTTAAGCGATTTTTTTCTAATACTTTAGAGGTACACACATTATAGAGTGTTAACGAGCGATCTTATTTTATTATACATAAAAATAATGAAGTTTGAAATACATTTCAATTCAGGATTTCAAATACCTACGTTTATTGAAAAATTGCACTAATCGCGATTCAATTTATACGAAATTAATTTTGCGAAAGTTGCTGAATTCCGAGAAAACAAAGTATTAAATATTTTTATAACGTATAAAATATTTTGGCAGAACATCCCAAATAGATTTCTTCCATTTTCTGTCGAAGTGAGACCATTGAGACCAATAATTTATTTTCACGTTACTGCAGCAGAGTATTTCTAAACCTCGGAAATTTATGATCATTTGTTTCGTTTTAAGTTTGAAATATTTTAGTGTTTTATTATACTACTATGGATACAACAATGAAAGAAACTGTTGTTTTAGGTTGCTTTTTATCTCAGTGAAGAATTATAAACCAGCTGACATACCAAAGAGTTTCTTGTTGAGCTGGGGTTTTTGAAATTGTAATAACATAGCTGCCAGTAAATATTGCGAGAAAAAAATCCACAAAATAGTGAAGTAATACATTGAAGTATATGAAGTATATATATATATAGAGAGAGAGAGAGGGGGGGGAGGTAAATGAATCTGCAATTCACGCTTCTACTTAATTTTGTTATATGTGTCAATTTCTGCCTTTAATTACCAAAAATAATTATCATAAGTCATTTGCAATAGTTTCGAATAGTTCGAATAAATGGCACTTTATTATATTTAAGTTAAAGCTGAAATTTAGAAGGGAAATATTTTAATAGAGAGTCAATGTGTTAGTTAAACAACTTGTAGAGTCATGAGGGATTTTTGGATGCTGGAGACGTTAAAGTATGCAATGCCCTAGCCGGGACTCGATCCCTGAACGCCACGAAGATCCCTGGACTCGATTCCAATTAAACCAAGAAGGCACGCAGAAAAGAGGGAGAAAATACCTTATAATCTTAACATTAATACATTTATATTATCACAAAGCAATAGCTACTTCTGAAAAGATCGTCACTCTGGTTAGGGTCTTAATCAATTTTCTTTGTTATGGATTTGTCTTCTGCTCAGTCCAATCATAAAGCTGCGAGTTACATACTCTAAAAAATGCATTTTTAAGTGAACTAATTAAAAAATATATTGTTATAAGCATTAAAAAAAGTTTTACCTCTTGTTGCGAAACATCTTTTCGTAATTGTCTCGGGAACAATGCTTTACTGGAAGAGATGAACTTCTTCAGAAAACAAAAAGTAGAGGCTTTTTGCGTCGTCTTTATTTTATTTTTTTACGGTGCACCGCACAAACTCGAATCTCATTTTCGAAGAAGTGAAAGAAGAGGGTCGGTAAGACGTTGGAGGAGAGTTAGGGAAGGTTGGAAAACGCCGACGGCACACCGAGAAAAGAGGTGAAGGGAGCGCGGAGAGGTCCAAAAATCAATGGCCAGCATCCGCAGCGCTTGTAGCCAACTCGCTGTACCTTCAGTTCCTCCTGCGAGGGCTTTGCTGAGTGTCATGCCACTCTGCTGTTGCCTGTCTCGCACAGATTTGTGTTAGAACAACACTTCGCGACGTGCGAGCTGTTCCCCCTTGTCTCCTTCCTCTTGCTGTCCTGCTTCGCTCTTAGTTGAAAAGCGTGATGATGTCCAGCTGGTCGGCGAAAGTCTTGGAGATGGACAACAGGGCACATTTTGCAGAACTATGTATCTAATTCCAAGGGTCCACTCATAAACAGAATGGAGTGAGAATTCCTGCTCGGACCTTATCTTGTAAAGGTAAATCTTTTCCTGTCTGTCAATGTTATTCTAAAATTCGGTATATAAAAGTAACTAACTCCTATCAAAGATGTGGAAATAAGTAAAAAAGAACTTCTTTGAACTTCTTTACTTTAGTCACTTCATGACCAAAAATGTATTTACTTCTTATGCTTATGATCTTTCTGTATAGCGTGAAATTTCCAGAAAAAGACTAAAGTTTTATTATTGTTTAAAGTAACTTATATAAACTTTAGTTTTGTTTCCTACTTTGATTAATTTTAATATTTTTTATTAAATAAACCCCATTTAAACAGTATTATTTTATGTCATTCATTTAAAAGCTTTGAAGAGTTAATTTTGCTTGAGGTACACGTGATCTTTCTTCCATTATAAACAATTCCATTTTTATTTTCGTGCAAATTTGTTTATTAATTAGTCCTAATAAGTGAGAGTTCAATGCAGATAAAATTGGTAAATAATTTAAAATTCTTTTTTGGCAAAATATTACTGAGACAGTCTTTTAGGAAATTTTACTTCAGTTTTCCAACTGCCATTATCAGTTATTATAAAAGCAGCAAAGCCTCTTTTGTGAACTTATCTTAAACCAATTACCCAATGCAGCAGCAAAATTTGAAAGCGATATTATAATTACAGATGTCCTATAAGTTTTAGTCGTTTCTTAAAAATATATCAATTTAGGACTAGTCAGCCAACGTTTTTATGAAAACTGACTTAATTATGATTATGTAATACGTAACGAATATAAAATTAAAATTAGTACTCGAAAACTGAAGAAAGTTTCGAGAAGTGTAACTCATTTTCCACGAATTGTTTTTTGTCATATTCTCAAGTAACTTTAAAGTAAGGCAGTTATACTCTCAAATCCTGTTGCAAATGAAATTACGAAGATTCTGATTACCATCAGAATCTTTACTAGTATGTATACAAGAAAGATAAGTCACCAGTTTTAGTACATATTTCAGATCCACCATCGCTTTCCTTATCTTACGATTATTTGATTTTGTTGAAAGGATCCTTTTATAGTACTGATAATTTTTGTTTACATTTTTCGGAGTAAAATACCTCGAATATACGCGGACTAGAGGCTCCGCATAGAACGTTGACAACTTAAAACTACAATTTTTAATTGTTTGTTGTTGATTAGAAGACTTAATTATATCAGTATAAGGAGTCGATAATTTAAAACAAAATAAACTAGAGGAAAGAAAACTTTTTAGAGCCGAAAATCGTAAAGAGAAGAAAATACATCTGAAGTATTAAACTATGTATATTCATTAGTATCATTTTGTCATCCGTATTTGTCAACATTTGAACCAAGCTGCCTTATATGATACAAAACTGTCTGTTTAAAAATTATAAAATTAATAGGATACATATGACTAAATGCTGTTCTTTTAAGCCTATGCATTAGTGAATTTTCATAAGCGTTATCAGACTTTAGTCCCATGCAGTCATATCCATGACAGTCCTGACTGCAACTGTGTTGTTTTTGAATTAAAATTATTGTTACTTTCAGACATAAAAAGAATAGAAACCTTTCTTAAACTATTATGACTTTTCTTTGTCTCTTGAAAGTAGGTTGCAACAAAATTAGAAGCACTTTTTATGGGACTTTTAGAGTTATATAAAATTAATGGTGCCGGTAGTAAACACGATAAAAAGTAATCGAACACAATAAGGCATTTTGAAAGGCGTCCTCAATTTACAGGACAAATTAAGTTTTCAAGCGGCTATAACCAGAAACATATTTACACAGAACTTTTAAGCGGTATTTACACAGAACATTTATTGAAGTTTCAATGGCAACATTAAACAAAGTCAGTGATCCCATTTAGCATTCTGCACATATTTAAAATAAAACAAAATGGCAACTCCAGATTGGCGTAGGTACTGAACGTATTTTGAGGACAGTCAGATTTATATGTTCCTCTTCTTCAACAGCAAAAATTTGTAGAGACATTAGGTATTTTTGGAAGCAGGCAAGATGAAAAATTAGCAACGCCTTCGCCGGGAATCGAACCGCGGACCTCTCAATTACGCGCTGAGAGTGCAGACCACCACACCACGAAGGCATGCGAAGAAGGGAGAAATGCATTCCCCCTTTTAAAGGACGACTGGAGTTTCTAGGGGACCCAATCGCAAAATTCTGGGTGAGGAGAATCATGATCCAACACCCTTTTTTTTTAGTTCGGGCGCCATTGTAGTCGCAATAGGTATTTTTGGAAGCAGAAGAAATGAAAAATTTGCAACGCCTTCGTCTGGAATCGAAACACGGACCTCTCAATTACACGCTGAGCATGCAGACCATCACACCACGAAGGCGGGAGAAATACCTTATAAATTTGTTGCGATAGTAGGCATAGAGACAGATGATTTATGTGGAAACCAGTTGGTTGAGGAAAGCAAAATCGAACGTTTAGCTACTTCTAGAGGAAACTAGTTAAAAAGTAATAAAATGTTAAAACCTAAAATATTCAAATCTTTTAATCATTAAGGAAAAACTGATTTGAAAGTAATATGATTTAAAACGATTTCCGTTAGTCCAACCTTTTCTAAAATATTTAATTTAGAAAGAAGAAGAGGAACTATTCTTAATCAGTCTCGAATCGTTTAAGTTTTATTCAAAATCTGTGCTAATATAAGGCAGCTTTTTTTTTTTTTTTTTTAATTTAAAATTTTACTTTGGTCATTTTCCTCCCCCAGACACATTTAGGGTTGGTACATATGTTGCATAATGCCACACATAGTAAGTTTTCAGTGAAATCTATGTCCGTTTTAGTGAAGTACAGAATACTTTATTCTCATCATATATTTAAAAATGAAAAAGAGGCGATTAATTTTTGTATAAAATTCAGTAAAAAACCCCAGAGAAAGCATAAAAGTACTGATAACTGCTTTCAGTAATGAAATAATCTATCGCGCCAAAAGTTTCATTTCCCATTGTCGATTCCAATATATGATCGTATGGAAAGTCGTCCTTCAACAATCGAACTGATGATAAAGGTTCGATAAAAAAAATAATGAAAAATGCTCATTCCTGAGGATGATTGTTATAGACCTTTGTATACACAAGAAGCACAACGCATAAGACATGGTTGAATCTGTTAATTGTTTCCTTTATTACGACCATGCTATAATGCAATTGTTGTCCCGCAGTTGAGTACGTGAGTAAATGAGTATGTGAAGCTGCCCGCTTAGCAGTAACTAGATAATCAAACATAATCTCAAAAGAAAATTTTCAGCAATATTAGAGACTTACAGCTGAGTGTGTGACTTCGAAAGGATATACATGGATGAATATGTAAGACTTACGATAAGCTTTATCTTTTCACAACTTTTATTAAGCCTAAAAATTTATTAAACTCACAATGTGCGATCTGAGCTAATGGTAATACTAACAGCATGAGGTCATAAGGTATTTTCCCTCTCTGTTCCACATGTCCTCGTGATGTAACTGAAAGCACGTTCGACGCGTATTCGGGAGGACCGTAGTTCGAATCTAGGCAAGAGCACTGCAGATTTTTTTTCTAATTTCCTTGATTCGAAAAATTCTAAGACTCTACAGTGGCGCCCGAAATAAAAAAGTAGTGGGCGATAATTCGTCACCACCATTATAGGGCAACTGTGTGCCCTCATAACCCAATTGCCCTTTAAAAGAGGATTATAAAAGTTAATTTCTCCTTTCTTTTCGCATGCCTTTATGGTATAACTAGAAGCACGCTCGAAGCGTATTCCGGAACTCCGGAGTTCGAATCATGCGGAGGGCAGTTGCGGATTTCTTCAAAGTCCTAACAACTAAAACAAATTCTAAAAAGACTGTGCAAAATGACTTCAAAATTATTGCAAAAGTGCAATTTATTTTACAGTGAATTTTATGCAAATATAACTTATTTTCTCGTTTGGTCACATTTCCGCACTTTAGTAGCTCTTTATGAAATCTTAGCCTACGCTCCAATGAAACATATATAATGTAATGCAAGTATTTTGCACTTGAGAAAAAAATTGTAGGAACAACAATAAAGTGTCATGTAATGTAACAGTTTTTCAGCTAAGAACATGGAATTTGCACAAGATTTTTATTTTGTGAGGCCTGCGTATCTTTAAAATGCAGAAGTATTTATTTCTTCAAAAAATAAATTTTAATAAAAACGCAAGAAACATAATAAAAAGCGGGGTATGGAAAAGGTGAAATTACATCCTTTTAGACATACTTAATTTAATACACTAGATGATTAAAAATTCTGTTTAGTTATTTCAACATTCTTGATCTTACATGATTGAAATAAAAATCGTGTAGCATCTAAAAAGTGGTATTGTAATCAATAATAGAAGAAAAAGTGGCAAGAAACATAAAAAAAATAGTGGCATTGAAATGATGTGATGTGTTAAAATGAATTATCGCATTCTATTATAATGAATTACCGTACCATTCCTTTTAGAATAAGGGGTGGTGATTCGTATATATAGTTTTACTACAATTGAAAGATCTAATTCTGCCGAAGTTATAGATGATTTTTCGAGTCTCCTGTATCTAAAATTTTAGTAGTCTTTATAGCATTTATAATCCATTGCTATACTCATTAGAGAGAATAAACTCCCTAAATTCAATAGCACTGGATTTCAAGATTGTTATGTTTTCATCTTTTGTTAATTAAAAGGTATAAATTAAAGAGCATGTACAAAATTTTGAAGTCACACGGCATTAATTAAACGAATTAAAAAGTAAAAAATACGTTTTCCTCCAGCAATATTATTATTATTATTATAAGGGCACAGCCCCGATCCTCCTAGCTGGCACAAACCGGCCGTATGATCAACAAATGGGACTGGCCAGAAGAAAACAAATATAAAGAAAAAAAAACACAAAAAGTCCAAAATCTGAGTCTGAGTGCCGAATTCCAACTCTATCTTTATTCGTATTTATAATCTTCAATGTGATTTAATAAAACCATGAAATGGACGCTGGACCTTGATGTTGGTTTCATAGAGAAACTAAG